TCATAAAAAGAAATCAGATTTGTTTGACAACTTCTGTGTTTCATGAATCCATGCTGTCTGTTGCTTAAAATATTTTTTTCCAGCAAGAATTCATCTATGTGGTCTTTTATTAAACTCTCCAGTATCTTCCAAACTATAGAAGTTACACTAACAGGTCTGTAATTACTTGGTAAAGATTTTGACCCCTTTTTTAATATTGGTACCACATTGACCTTACACCAATCCAGTGGTACTATGCCAGTCATTAAACAGTCCCTAAAAATGAAAAACAATGACTTTGAAATGACAGAGTTCAATTCTTTAAGGACCCGTGAGGGTGTATGCCATCCGGTCCAGGTGCTTTATTCAAATTTCTGTCTAAATATTTTTGGATCATATTAATTGTGAGCCAATGTGGATCATCTGGAGCTGTGTCAGTACCATGCCCATTATGGACAAGAGCTCCCCCATGCTCCTTTGTATACACAGAGCTGAAGAAGGTATTAAATAAATTTGCCTTCTCTTTGTCCCCAGTCACCCCCTCTAGATGATTCTGTAAAGGGCCTACATGCTCAGACTGGACCTTTTTACTATTAATATATTTGAAGAATTTTTTGGGGTTGGTCCTGCTATCTTTTGCAATTTGGTGCGGATGTTGTGAGGTCGGCCTGTGGTCACCAGCGGGTAGTATATTCCACTCTTTTAGGAGGTCTATGCCTTCCTCCAGGTTTCCAATTATGAAGGATTTGCCCTGATTTTTTTTATGAGAAGTTTGGCGGGAAGCCCCATTGGCACCTTATATCGTGGTTCCGTAAGGCTTTAGTGATAGAGAGTAGTCTCTTTCTATTGAGAAGTGTCACTTTGGTTAAATCACCATATAGTTTACCACTGCATGGGAGGCAGGAAAGGCTGACGAGTTTCTTGCCGCCATCATTAGCTTTTCTTTGATGTAATAAAAATGGACTCTGAGGAGCACATCTCTAGGGATAGAAGCTGGTAGAAAGGTAGTTTTTTAAGAATTCTGTGAGCTGTTAAGCGCTGCCTCTAGTGGACCCAGCGTGGGAATGAGAGGTTTCATGAATTATTGTAGACAAGGTATTAGTGCGTTGGGAGTGATCTATTCAAGAATGCTGCGAAATGTAATATTATTTCTTCTAGAACGATCTTCTAGATCAGCAATTTTGTTTTTTAGTTGTAAGATTTCATTCTCGTGGTCTGCATGGGCGTCTACCACGGTGTTATGAGCTGTAAATATGTCAGCCATTTTGCACTCTATATGCTGTAAACGCTTGGTATGGTCAGTAATGGTATTTGATAGAGGAGTGATCACGCTTGTAATATCGCCATGTAAAGTCTGCCTGAGTGAAAGAAGCATATTTTTCACGGCCAATTCTGAAACTGGTAGGTCAGAAGCAGGGAATTCCTCAATGGTGGACTGCAATAGTAGTGTAGAAGTATAAGTTGCCTCTGGAGATAGTGAGGTAGCATTGACAGGGCCCTCAATCCTGGGCCTTGATTTTGCTGGGCTACGGATAATGGGTGAGAGAGGAGGAGAAGCCTCACCTGGGTCTCTATTATTGAGTGGAACTGACAGCCTGGGGTCCAGTGTATAGCCTGACTGCTCTGCAGCAGGGACGTGACTCTCGCATGTAATGGCACCGGCGCCATCTTGGATCCTTGTGTCCCGGGCTGGGTAGAAGTCCATAAGTCTCTGCGGCTGTGCCGGAGACTTACAGCGTCGAGGCATGCTTCGGGAGGGTGACGGGGTTTATATCCCCCAAATCAGAGTGCCAGTGATCCACCTGTCAGTGTGCGAAGTTGCGGTGTTACGGAGATGGCCTTGGAGTTTCTGTGCTAAGCGGCCATCTTGGGAGCCGGCCGCGCATGCACCCCCCTGGAGTTATTCTTTAACCACCTCAATACCAGGCACTCTTACCTCCTTCCTGCCCAGACAAATTTTCAGCTTTCAGCACTTTGAATGACAATTGTGTGCTCATGCAGCACTGTATCCATATGAAATATGTATCTTTTTTGATTGCTTTTGGTGGTATTTAATCACTGCTGGGTTTTTGTTTTAGAAAACAAACCAAACACTTTGAAAAAAAAAATGTTTTTCTTAGTACCTGTTATAAAATTGTGCAAATAAGTAATTTTTTCTTCACTGATGTGCACTGTTGAGGCTGCACTGATGGGCACTGATGAGGCTGCACTGATGGGCACTGATAAAGCTGTACTTATGTACACTAATGAGGCTGCACTGATGTGCACTAATAAGGTGGCACTGATAAGCTGCACTGATGGGCACTGATGAGGCTACACTAATGGGCAGTAATGTGGCTGCACTAATGGGCAGTAATGAGGCTGCACTGATGTGCACTGAGGAGGCTGCACTGATGGGCAATCATGAGGCAACACTGATGTGCCCTGATGTGGCTACACTAATGTACACTGATGAGGTGGCACTGATAAGCTGCACTGATGGGCACTGATGAGGCTACATTAATGGGCAGTAATGAGGCTGCACTAATGTGCACTGATGGGCAATGATGAGGCAACACTGATGGGCAATGGTGAGGCAACACTGATGTGCACTGATGAGGCGGCACTGATGGGCAATGGTGAGGCTTCACTGATGTGCACTGATGAGGTGGCACTGATAAGCTGCACTGATGGGCACTGATGAGGCTATACTGATGAGGTGGGCACCGATAATCAGGGCACTGATTATCAGTGTAAACAAAATACTGACAGCCTTGCCAGGTAACAACTGTCTTTTCCTCACACAGAAACAGCATGCTGGCAAATCTGTTTACATGTGATCAGCTGTGATTGTACACTACTGATCACATGGTAAAGGGCCCCTGTGATTGTCCCTTTACCGCGATATGTGATCAGCTGTCTCTAGAGGACACATCGATCACAGAGCATGCCCAATGCGTGCCCCGGGGGCAGATGGCTGGGTTCTGGGGGGACATCTATAGACACCCTCCCATAACAAGAGAGCAGTGCTGTAGCTGTCTTTCGGCTATAGCGAGGTACTAAAGCTCTTAAGATAAACCCTTTGGTTTTCAACACCCATACTGCCACTTTTTCCACAAATATACATTTTAAGGTCCAATATTTCTACCAGCTTGGAAAAACAGTAAGTTCCAGTGCTGAGAGACCAGCACTGTTTGTTTGGTTGGATGGTTTCAGCACTGATCCTTGCACTGAATGGCCCAATACATTGGACAACAGCAAAAGATCACGCCTGCACATGATAGATGGCAGAAAAAGCTAATTGTTGTGAACTGGAGTTCATTTTTAAGGATTAGTTGAAGTGTCAGAGGAAGGTGAAGTGTTAACTCAAGGCATTAGGTTAACCTCCTGTCAGGGCAGGGCTGTGGAACGGACAGGTAGGCCTAGTGGCAGGGTAACACACTGGCTGACGACAACCACCACCAACAGACCTGAGTCCCTCAGGGCGCGGAGTCTAAGTCCCAGGCTGCCCTTCACCAGGGCCCCTGATGGTGGGGATGGACTTGACGCAGCCAGGAACCAGGTTGCGGCCCCCGAGACACCCCGGCTGCGGTAATGGCCGCCGCCAATGGCGTGTAGCTGGTAAGAATGACAATAGCGTAGTCAGGCAGGCCGGGTCGACAACAACGGGCCAAACTGTACAGAACAGTAGACAGAGAATCACAGGTCACGGGCCGGGTTCAGCAACGGAAGGTCAGATCGATGGAAAACACAGAGAATGGTCTAGTCACAAGCCGAGTCAGATACCAGAAGAGTCACAAGAGTATACACAGAGCTGTAGCAAGACAAAGACAGAAGACACAAGTGCAAAGAGCATGTGTGGATCACAGGGTTATATGTACTCAGCCACACCCCTCTGGGGGATGGACCTCAGAGACCTGAAGGCATAAAAGATTCCCACCATGCTCAGCAGAAATCCAAAATGGATGCCAGCACATGGAGTAACATAACCTCTGGGAAAAGGTAGGACCTTGACACCTCCCTAGCGGTCTGATTATGTCATTATTTCTGTGCTCAAAGCGGAACATTTTTTTGCATGGAAATATGTAGTTTTTTTTTTTTATTGTAGACCTGTAATTCTTAGGAATAACTCACTGAAATCTTTCCAAACAAGAGTCTAGTAAACATCCCGGGTATGATAAAATTTAAAACAAGAAATCATAAATTATAATTTAATAAATAATAATATATAATAATAATAAATGTAATTAAATAATATAATCAAACCAAAAACACTGAAATTGGAAATATAGCGCCAAGTTCTGAGCAAAGTCGCAAAATCGTTTTCAGTGTCTGATGACGAATTTCCCCCACGAATCATTATCACTCAATTCTGCAAGTGGTTCTGATTTACTATCGCTGTTCTCTAGCCGGTCTAAAACCGATTTTGACCTAAAGGGATGCTTTTTGGACGCCATGGACGTTTCTCAGTTTCCAGGCAGAAAGAACAGTAAAAATGCAGGCAGGGCGCCGGACAAAGCACTCGGGACAAAATGTATGTGAAATGGTTTGATACAGTAATGATTTAGTATGTGATTTTAGTGTATTGAGTGAATGTCACTTTTAAAATTTCCCACCGGTTCCGTCCCCGTACGTCCCGACGTCGCAGGGAACGGGACCCGGAAGACAGATGCCGGCATCGGCCGGAGGACATTGCCAGGGGACACTGCAGGAGGGACATCGCGGGAGCACAGGACAAGGTAAGTGAAGGGATCCCGGAGCAACGCTGCAGGGTATTCCCGGGTGTAGCTCGGGGTTACCGCTTGTGGTGCTGAAACTTTACCCCGAGCTACACTCGGGAATACCGCCAGGGGGGTTAAGCTTTAGGGTTCGTGTTAAGTGTTTACACTCTGGCCCGTAAAACTATCTTGGTGCCGAAAGACTATATATGGCCCTTTTATCTCTCCAGCTCCCATCAATTTCCAATCTAACATATATTTGCCCTTTTGCTATTCCTCTCTGTGTAATACAGCTCATCACCCCTTGTAAAGTCAGCATCTTACCGGCCGGTCCACCTCTGGTAGAAGCCTGAGAAGTCTCTGTTGGCAATCGGCTGGCAGCAGTGAGAAGGTGTGCTTATTTATGAGGGCCCGCAGGTTGGTGTTCACCAGGATGGACTCCGGCGTCTCTACATCTATCTCGGCACATTTGGTCCTTTTCAAGTGACCTGTAAAGGGAAGATGTTCCAGTACATTACACTAGGCAGGAAATCTAGTCTCCTTATGGTGACTATACATGGTTAAATTAGACCCTGTAGACCAGAGGTCAGAAATCTAAGACACAAGAGCCACAGTGGGGCAAGCAAAGCCAATTTCAGCAATAGCCTGTAGTGGGAGATTTGTACATCCACGCTTTTTAGTGTGTGTGATGGGAGTCACTTTGGGTGGGGGGCCCATGGAACACAGCTCATTTTGGAGAGGTGGGGAGACCCCTGTCTCAGCTCCTTATATCCCTCTTATGTGTAAGTCACCCTGTGCCTGTTAGGGTTACAAGGTGATCTGTCCTAATATTGTGTAGACATGTATAGGTGGGGTGGGGGTTGTGGATTGTTTGGTGTTATATGGCTGCATTCCATTGTTCTACTGTGTGTCTTGCTTGGGAGCAAACTGTTATGGGATGTATGTGTTTATGTGTATTGGCTTGGTGGGGGGGGGGGGGTGTCTCCAGCAGCCCTCCCTCCTGATGGGACTGTCTGCTGGTGTGTCTTTGTTACTAAATGCAGATTGCCCCGCCCTGTGTCATTACGCAGGGGGGGGGGTTGTTCCCTTGAATGTATATATCCTGTATCTGTGTTAAAATAAACTAGTCTACTTCCGGGTTTACTTCAAGACTGGTGTCGTCTAGTCTTATTTGGTCGGCTGTGGTGTCTGTGGTCGGTGTTCGGATGGGGAAGTGGTATTCTAATGGAAGTACCCAAGCGCAGTCTGGGGTCGGTTCTGTTACAGTGTGAATGGGGGAATTGTTAGAATTTCAATCGCTCAGCCAACAGGGAAGAACAACAGAAATTGAACAGTGTATGGCAAGGCTTATTACAGCAGAATTCCAACCTAAAGACTCGCAGCTCCAGCTTTCCTGTGCCAGTGAGTGGCGGCTGCTGGAGAGAAGAGGGAGGACTAACAATGGCTGGGACATGGGAGCCTATGGGTGACCACACAGATCTTGGAAATCCCAGCCATTGCCAAGCGCTCTCTACTGTCCCCTGCAGCTGCCACTCACTGACATGCGGCATCACGTAACTGGACCAGAGCGGACTAAAAATAGGTAAGTGTATGGAACTTTTTTTCATGGGTTAGGAAGAACAGGTAGCAGGAGGGTGAGGAAACATTTTTAACTGCTTTAATAATGGACACTTTCACCGCCCTGACAATTGCACGGTCATGCAACACTGTACTCATATGAAATTCTTATCAGACAGAGCTGTCTTTTGGTGGCAGGTAATCACCACTGGGTTTTTAATTTTTTGCTAAACAAACAAAAAAATACCAAAAACGTTGAAAAAAAAACGTTTTTCTTAGTTTCTGTTATAAAATTTTGCAACTAAGTAATTTTTCTTCTTCACTGATGTGCTCTTATGAGGCTGCATTGATGGGCACTGATGAGGCTGCTCTGATTGGCACTGATGAGGAGGCATTGATGAGATGTGGTCTGATGAGGTTGCATTGATGGGCACTGATAGGATGCACTGATGAGGCTGCACTGATTGGCACTGATGAGGAGGCATTCATGAGGCTGCACTGATAAGGCGGCACCGTTGGGCACTGATGGGGCTGCACTGATTATCAGTGTAAACCATGTACAGTCAGGTCCATAAATATTGGGACATGGACACAATTCTAACATTTTTGGCTCTATACACCACCACAATGGATTTGAAATGAAACGAACAAGATGTGCTTTAACTGCAGACTGTCAGCTTTAATTTGAGGGTATTTACATCCAAATCAGGTGAACAGTGTAGGAATTACAACAGATTGCATATGTGCCTCCCACTTGTTAAGGGACCAAAAGTAATGGGACAATTGGCTTCTCAGCTGTTCCATGGCCAGGTGTGTGTTATTCCCTCATTATCCCAATTACAATGAGCAGATAAAAGGTCCAGAGTTCATTTCAAGTGTGCTATTTGTATTTGGAATCTGTTGCTGTCAACTCTCAAGATGAGATCCAAAGAGCTGTCACTATCAGTGAAGCAAGCCATCATTAGGCTGAAAAAGCAAAACAAACCCATCAGAGAGATAGCAAAAACATTAGGCGTGGCCAAAACAACTGTTTGGAACATTCTTAAAAAGAAGGAACGCACCGGTGAGCTCAGCAACACCAAAAGACCCGGAAGACCACGGAAAACAACTGTGGTGGATGACCGAAGAATTCTTTCTCTGGTGAAGAAAATACAGAGGGTTCACCACAAGATGGAAACCATTGGTGACCCTCAAAAAAACAGGAAGGACAGATTAGAGTTTGCCAAACGACATGTAAAAAAGCCTTCACAGTTCTGGAACAACATCCTATGGACAGATGAGACCAAGATCAACTTGTACCAGAGTGATGGGAAGAGAAGAGTATGGAGAAGGAAAGGAACTGCTCATGATCCTAAGCATACCACCTCATCAGTGAAGCATGGTGGTGGTAGTGTCATGGCGTGGGCATGTATGGCTGCCAATGGAACTGCTTCTCTTGTATTTATTGATGATGTGACTGCTGACAAAAGCAGCCGGATGAATTCTGAAGTGTTTCGGGAATATTATCTGCTCATATTCAGCCAAATGCTTCACAACTCATTGGGCGCCGCTTCACAGTGCAGATGGACAATGACCCAAAGCATACTGCAAAAGCAACCAAAGAGTTTTTTAAGGGAAAGAAGTGGAATGTTATGCAATGGCCAAGTCAATCACCTGACCTGAATCCGAATGAGCATGCATTTCACTTGCTGAAGACAAAACTGAAGGGAAAATGCCCCAAGAACAAGCAGGAACTGAAGACAGTTGCAGTAGAGGCCTGGCAGAGCATCACCAGGGATGAAACCCAGCGTCTGGTGATGTCTATGCGTTCCACACTTCAGGCTGTAATTGACTGCAAAGGATTTGCAACCAAGTATTAAAAAGTGAAAGTTTGATTTACGATTATTATTATGTCCCATTACTTTTGGTCCCTTAACAAGTGGGAGGCACATATGCAAACTTTTGTAATTCCTACACCGTTCACCTGATTTGGATGTAAATACCCTCAAATTAAATCTGACAGTCTGCAGTTAAAGCACATCTTGTTTGTTTCATTTCAAATCCACTGTGGTGGTGTATAGAGCCAAAAATGTTAGAATTGTGTCCATGTCCCAATATTTATGTACCTGACTGTACATGGGGCAGCACAGTTGCTAAATGGTTAGCACTTCCGCCTGGCAGTACTAGGGTCGTTGGTTTGAATCCCAGCCATGGCACCACCTGCCTGGAGTTTGCATGTTCTCCCTGTACCTGCGTGGGTTTCCTCTGGGTACTCCAGTTTCCTCCCACACTCCAAAGACATGCTGGGAGGTGAATTGGCTCCTGTCTAAATTGTCCCTAGTATGTGTATGTATGAATGTGAGTTAGGGACCTTAGATTGTACACCCCTTGAGGGTTAGGGACTGATGTGAATGTACAATATATATGTAGAGTGCTGCGTAAATTGACGGCGCTATATAAGTACCTGTAATAAATAAATAAATAAATAAATGTACTAACTGTTTTGCCATTTATCGGCTTTCCTTTCCTCACACAGACACAACATGGGAGGAAATGTCTGCCGCTATTTGGCAAGCCTGTTTACATGTGATAAACTGTGATTTGACACAGCTAATCACATGGTCAGGGGCTACTGTGATTGGCCCTTTAACTTGATCTGTGATCAGCTGTGTCCAAAGGACACAACGATCACAGAGCGCACCCGAAGTGCGCCCTGGGGTGTAAGGTTCTGTAAAGACATCCATGGATGCCCTCCCAGAACTAGACGACCGCACTGTAGCCGTCTTTTAGCTATAGTGCAGTCAGGAAGTAGTTAAGACTAGTTAGTGTTAGGATGGAATTACACTTAAAACTCTTCTCACCCCATATCCAATGCTGCAGTGTCCCGGAGCTCCCTGCTAGCCATTGACATTTTCTGGCAGTATGCTTTCGGGTACCAACCTCCAGGCCATTTTCAATGGCTGGGCCGAGATGACGTCACTCCCACACATGTGCGGGAGTTCATTCATCTTGGCCATGCCGAAAATGTACACTAAACTGTGCACGTGTAATTCAGTGTACAATACAGACAGGCAGGCAAGAAACTTGAATGCAGAAGAGACAAAGTATGTCTCATCTGCAATAAAAAAATCCTGCATGTTCACAATTTTTTTTTTTTTTACAAATATTACACTTCAATGTAGGAAAGGTTACCACCTTCTGCTGTAGACCATCTGAATAGATCTACATACAATACAATATGCAAAAAAAAATTATTTGAATTCATTTGTAATTTTCGCTATATTTATGATTGTAATTTGGACATAAAAAAAGTAAAAAAAACAGCAAAACACTTATGAATCTAAACAAAATTTAATAGAAAAGAAATAAACTGGACTTTAAAAAAACTGGTTAGGCCCCATGTACTTTACATGGGACACTTCTGAACGATGGAAACTGACTGCTGGAAAACGTAGGTTAAAAAACGTCTGTTTAGCCACGTTTGCATAACGCGTTTATGTGCGTTTGCGTTTAGAAGCGTTTTTTAAAGATAAGCACAGGAGAACCTCCCAAATGCCCAGAATGCACTGGAAAGTGGTAAATTATTAACTATTTCAGACTGTTTCAGAGAAATACAGAGAGTAGAAGCAGAGACAGCAGTATGTGTTGAGATTGGCTTAGGTGTGAGTTGCTCATTAACATTTCTTTTGTCTCCAAGGGTGGGAAAGGTGTCTGGTGGAGGGAATGATTAAGTCCACCTGGCAGGGGGACTTCATGAGGAATTTGAGGTGTGAATGGGCATGAACATATCTTTTGTTTCCAAGGGTGGGAGAGGTCCGAGGTGTGAATGGACATTAACATACCTTTTGTCTCCAAGGGTGGGAGAGGTCTGAGGTGTGAATGGTCATTAACATATCTTTTGTTTCCAATGGTGGGAGAGGTCTGAGTTGTGAATGGTCATTAACATATCTTTTGTCTCCAAGGGTGGGAGAGGTCTGAGGTGTGAATGGTCATTAACATTTATTTTGTTTCCAAGGGTGGGAAAGGTGTCTGGTGGAGGGAGTCATTAAGGTCACCTGGCGGGGGGTCTTCATGAGGAATTTGAGGTGTGAATGGCTTTAACATATCTTTTGTTTCCAAGGGTGGGAGAGGTCTGAGGTGTGAATTGGTCATTACAATGTGTGACAAGCTTGGCAGGAACATCCTGTGTTCAGTGTTTTGTCCATCTGAGCACCTTGAAATCGCTTTGCATGCATTTTTCATGATGTAAAAAGGCTCTGGACAGCATTGGGAACTGGAAGACTTACTTAAAAAAAAATTTAAACCGCAAATGCTTATAAACGCAAATTGACGCATTTAGCCGCGTTTACAAGCGATTTGCGCTTGAAACGCTGATAAAATCAACTGCTGAATGCAAGTGTGGTGTGTTCAAAAAACGGCAGTAAACTCAAATGCCTGTAAACGACTGTAAACGAAGATGTGTACATGGACACATAGGAAAACATTAGGGAAAGTTCAGGGGCTGCTGAAAAAAATGCAGAACAGCTCCTAAACATGAGTTTTTTTCAGCTGCAGTGTACATGAGCCCTTAGCTTTTTTAGATCAGGTCACTATAGGATTCTGGTATACTTGTAACCTGAGAGCATCCTTCCTTGTGCCCTTATGATCCGAGGCACACTCTCTTCCTAGGGTCTGGGTCTTTGATTTTGTTTTTCCATGTCGCTCATCCAATGCTTCCAGGTATTAGAGAGGATGTAACCTCCTCCCGTGTGACAGTCCTCACGTCTACCAGCCAATTGCTACACCTGAGTACTGTCACATGACAAAGGAAATGATGTCTCTGCTCCCCCTAGCATCTGACACCAAAAGACACTCAAAATTTTTTTCTTTCTGGTTGCAACAAAAAAGGAGCAGTGGGGGAGAACCGCCACAGTAAAGAACAGTAAGTTGGGGGGCCCTTTACAAAGACGCTGCAACTCTGCCTATAATAGGTAAGTGACAGTATCTTTTTAAAGACTTCAATGACTCTGCATTTCAATATACAAAGAGGCTGATTTACTAAAACCCAAGAGTACAAAATCTGGTGACAAATCTGCATAGAAAACCAATCAGCTTCCAGGATTTTTTTGTCAAAGCTTAACTGAACAAGAATTTGATTGGCTACCATTCACATCTGCACCAGAGTTTGCACTCTCCAGTTTTAGTAAATCAGTCCTAAAGCCTCTACTTCATGATGACACTTACTGTCCCGCAGTCGGCTGGACCTTTGCAAGGCTTTCTTTCCAAGCCCATGCAATGATTCGTTAGATTTAACCGCCATGTTGGAGGCTGGTGCAGAGATCTGATTGGTCCTAGGTTGCACCTCGGAGCGCTTCGCTGCCCATGCTGCAAGCAAACAGAAACAAGAAAAAGATTTAGTCACAATGCTCAGAGCATCTACGTCAAACCGGAACAATCCAGTGGTGCAGGTCTTCAACACCAAGTGTCACCCACATATAATGCGGTTTTAATATTTAGATGAACCACTTTACAACCGCGCTATAGCTGAATGACGGCTACGGTGTGATTGTCCAGTTTTGGAAGGGCGTCATATAACGTCCTCCCCGAACGTGCCCCCTGCGGCGTGCACCGGCGCGGTCTGTGATTGCTGTGTCTTACGGACACAGCTGATCACATTGCAAGGTAAAAGGCCAATCACAGCGGCCTTTTACCACGTGATCAGCTGTGTCCAATGACACAGCAGATCACAAAGTAAATACAGTTGCTGGTTATAGGCAGCACTTTCCTCACGCTGTCAGAGTGTGAGGAAAGTACTGCCGATAACTGGAAAAGTGGAAAGTGTCACAGAGGACATCAGCACTGATTATCAGCGCGCATCTCCAAAGTGCCTATCAATCCCCACCCATCTGTGCCTAGCAGTGCCACCATCAGTGTCAGTGCCACCCGCATCATCAGTGCCTCCTCCTCATCAATTCCCACCCCAGAGCCACCTATCAGTGGTGACCATCAGTGCCTAGCAGTGCCACCAGTCAGTGCCCATCAGTGCCCCCTCATCAATTCCCACCAGAGCCACCTATCAGTGGTGACCATCAGTGCCAGTGCCCCATCAGTGCCCAAGCAGTGCCACCAGCCACCCAGTGCCGCATCATCAGTGCCTCCTCATCAATTCCCACCAGAGCCACCTATCAGTGGTGACCATCAGTGCCACCATCATCAGTGCCACCAGTGGTGATCAGTGCCCATCAGTGCCACCACCCATCAGTGCCAGGCAGTGCCACCAGTCAGTGCCCATCAGTGCCTCCTCATCAATTCCCACCAGAGCCACCCATCAGTGCCTAGCAGTGCCACCAGTCAGTGCCCATCAGTGCCGCATCATCAGTGCCTCCTCATCAATTCCCACCAGAGCCGTCTATCAGTGGTGACCATCAGTGACACCCATCAGTGCCTAGCAGTGCCACCAGTCAGTGCCCATCAGTGCCGCGTCATCAGTGCCTCCTCATCAATTCCCACCAGTGCAGCCTATCAGTGCCGCCTTATCAACGCACATCAATGAACTAGAAAATGTACCTGTTTGCAAAAATATTTAGATTAACTACTTTACAACCGCACTATAGCCGAATGACAGCTACAGTGTGATTGTCCAGTTTTGGAAGGGCGTCATATAACGTCCTCCCAGAACGTACCCTCTGGGGCGTACACCCGGCGTGCAGCCTATCAGTGCCTATCAATGCCACCTCATCAACACACATTAGTGAAGGAGAAAATTTACCTGTTTGCAAAAATTTATAATAGAAAAAATTAAAACTTTTTTTTCAAATTTTATGCTTTTTTTTTGTTTATAGCACAAAAAATAAAAAGCTCAATTTGTGTGAAAAAAATGATAAAAATTTCATATGGGTTCAGTGTTGCATGACCCGCGCAATTGTCATTCAAAGTGTGACAGCGCTGACAGCTGACAACTGGCCTGGGCAGGAAGGGGGTAAAAGTGCCCGGTGGGCAGGAAGGGGTAAAAGGTAGGCGAGGGGTTAAGGTGACAGAGTTACCCATGTGCCTATACATACAGGGGTATGTCCCTGACACTCCCTGACATAGGGGTATGTCCCTGACACTCAATGACACAGGGTATGTCCCTGACACTCAATGACATACGGGTATGTCCCTGACACTCAATGACACAGGGTATGTCCCTGACACTCAATGACACAGGGGTATGTCCCTGACACTCCCTGACACAGGGTATGTCCCTGACACTCCCTGACACAGGGTATGTCCCTGACACTCCCTGACACAGGGGTATGTCCCTGACACTCTCATGACACAGGGGTATGTCCCTGACACTCAATGACACAGGGGTATGTCCCTGACACTCAATGACACAGGGGTATGTCCCTGACACTCAATGACACAGGGGTATGTCCCTGACACTCCCTGACACAGGGGTATGTCCCTGACACTCAATGACACAGGGGTATGTCCCTGACACTCAATGACACAGGGGTATGTCCCTGACACTCAATGACACAGGGGTATGTCCCTGACACTCAATGACACAGGGGTATGTCCCTGACACTCAATGACACAGGGGTATGTCCCTGACACTCCCTGACACAGGGGTATGTCCCTGACACTCAATGACACAGGGGTATGTCCCTGACACTCAATGACACAGGGGTATGTCCCTGACACTCAATGACACAGGGGTATGTCCCTGACACTCAATGACACAGGGGTATGTCCCTGACACTCAATGACACAGGGGTATGTCCCTGACACTCAATGACACAGGGGTATGTCCCTGACACTCAATGACACAGGGTATGACACAGGGTATGTCCCTCCCTGACACAGGGTATGTCCCTGACACTCAATGACACAGGGATACGTCCCTGACACTCAATGACACAGGGGTATGTCCCTGACACTCAATGACACAGGGTATGTCCCTGACACTCAATGACACAGGGTATGTCCCTGACACTCAATGACACAGGGGTATGTCCCTGACACTCCCTGACACAGGGGTACGTCCCTGACATTCAATGACACAGGGTATGTCCCTGACACTCAATGACACAGGGGTATGTCCCTGACACTCCCTGACACAGGGTATGTCCCTGACACTCCCTGACACAGGGTATGTCCCTGACACTCCCTGACACAGGGGTATGTCCCTGACACTCAATGACACAGGGATACGTCCCTGACACTCAATGACACGGGTATGTCCCTGACACTCAATGACACAGGGGTATGTCCCTGACACTCAATGACACAGGGATACATCCCTAACACAATGACACGGGTATGTCCCTGACACTCAATGACACAGGGTATGTCCCTGACACTCAATGACACAGGGGTACGTCCCTGACACTCAATGACACAGGGTATGTCCCTGACACTCAATGACACAGGGGGGTTTGTGAAAAGAGATTCACAGAAAAAGGGGAACAGACCCTGACACTCAGACAAGGGGTTTCCCTGACAAAAATTATGCTTTATTACACAGATATAAATATGACACATGGGCATTCGCCCTGGTTTACCATCACCTCAGTATGAGACAATAACACACAGACCTAAAACCATATAAAATGACATCAAGACCGGTCTAAATGTATGTGCAACAGAAAAAGTGACTGCAAGAGTCTAATATCTCTGTAGTACAAACACATAGGTAAACACTTCCCTGAAAGAGGTGTATCCAAAAATTATACCATAGGTATACCATAATATTAAATAATGAATTTACACCAATATCATAATGGTGAATCCCGAACAGGGAATCCAAAAATTATACTATGGATATACACATGGAAATAGTAAGCACAATAAGCGTAAAGAGGGGAACAGTAAGCCTCAGGCCTGTTTGGAAAAAGACATAAATGTCAAATATATGATGCAATACATTCCTGTGCCGGCACACGTGGTTGGGGCCCGTTCATCTGTTATGTAAACACTGTATCATAAAGCTCTTGAATGGAAATAAGCCCCATTTATTCCCAGGATGGGAGAAAAGGTGCAGATTGCAGCACTCTGCTTGAAATGGTGTCTTCACCACTGTATGTGGACTACACACCACCCTTTGTAGGAAAGCAAAACATATCCCAAGGAATCTTCTCCTGTTGAGCTATATGCGGTATGTCCTGTATCCTACACAAAGCACCATAATGTCCCCATCCTGTAGTAGTGAAACAAATAATGTGGGAAGTCACTGACAGAGCTTGCACTCAATAAGATATGTAGGTCATATTGATCACAGAGGACCGTATATCTAATGTCCTGTAACAACCACTCACCACCTGTGCCGTGGATAAAGGGAATGAAAGAAATGTCCTTCATGGATATTGCCAAACATGGCCACAGAGGCCCAGGAACCACCGCTGACATCCGCCGATATACCGCGGGTTCCAGCCCCCTCTCAGCGCCTGTACTGCTCACGCTTGCCTCATGGCATGTGAAGATGGCTTCCTCCTTACAGCGGGATAGTGCGCATGACCGGAAGTGACATCTGACGTATGACGTCAACGCGTTTCGCCATGGGGTATCTCACTCAGCTTCGTCAGGACCAATGGGACAGCTGCATTTCAATATCCTATTTATAGTGGGTAAAGACCCACCCATTTATGCAAAAGAGGTGACCTGCAGTTGTTCCTAATGGAAGAAAACAAGGGGGGGGGGGCTAAATACTTAGCACAGCTACTGGTCTTAATTAAAATTAAATGACAGGCGGCTGGAGTCCACAGAGAGGGGGGAGAGGCTTAATATTTTTACCAAAACATATATTAATCAAAGATCATAAATTACATATACCAGTCTGTTGGGGCTTTTATCACACTTTAACAAGGAGATGGCGATATAAATCAAAGAATCATGAATTCCATCCACTGAATCGGGTTCTTGGGGAGACAATATCAATTATCAAAAGATACCAACAAATACCACAAGATGGCAATATAATCTGAAAACACATGAGGGTCATTATAACAAAAATACCCCAGTTTTTTACAACCATCCTATGGTATAGTTATTGTTCAGAGACGAAAGGTATTAAGGGACATATAACCAGACAATGAGTCCTTTTGCATTATTTAGAGCTATATAAAAAACTCATATCGTAATGTCATCCATATTTACGTTAATATTCCCAATATACACAGGTTTATCATTCCAGCCATTAAGAAAAACTGAGAAATGCCATCAACTAACCGCCACATGGCAGTAAATCAGAGAATGATAGTTCCATCTACTGAGTCGGGTTTTTTTTGGGGGAGACAATATCAATTATCAGAAAATACCAACAAATACCACAAGGGCAATATAATCTGAACAATCACATGAGGGTCATAATAACAGAAATACCCCAGTTTTCATCCATCCTATGGTATGGTCATTGTTCAGGACAGAAGGTATTAAGGGACATTTAACCAGATGAAGTCCTTTTGCATTGTTTAGAGCTATATAAAAAACTCATATCATATGACATCCATATTTTCATTAATATTCCCAACACCGGTACATAGTCCCATAAACCTATTTTTCCAAAAACACTTGGAGATCACACTCCACATTTAACCTTTAGGGTACAGTGTATCAAGTTTATATATCCAATGTTTCTCCTTTTTAAGCAGTTCTCTATCAAAATCACCTCTCCTCTGTGGGAAGTGCAGTGCATATATGTCCCCGACACTCCCTGACACAGGGGTACGTCCCTGACACTCCATGACACAGGGGTATGTCCCTGACACTCCCTGACACAGGGGTATGTCCCTGACACTCCCTGACACAGGGGTATGTCCCTGACACTCCCTGACACAGGGGTATGTCCCTGACACTCCTGACACAGGGGTATGTCCCTGACACTCAATGACACAGGGGTATGTCCCTGACACTCAATAACACAGGGGTATGTCCCTGACACTCAATGACACAGGGATATGTCCCTGACACTCAATGACACAGGGATACGTCCCTGACACTCAATGACACAGGGATACGTCCCTGACACTCAATGACACAGGGTATGTCCCTGACACTCAATGACACAGGGGTATGTCCCTGACACTCAATGACACAGGGATACGTCCCTGACACTCAATGACACAGGGATACGTCCCTGACACTCAATGACACAGGGGTATGTCCCTGACACTCAATGACACAGGGGTATGTCCCTGACACTCAATGACACAGGGTATACGTCCCTGACACTCAATGACACAGGGATACGTCCCTGACACTCAATGACACGGGTATGTCCCTGACACTCAATGACACAGGGGTATGTCCCTGACACTCCAATGACACAGGGTATGTCCCTGACACTCCCTGACACAGGGGTATGTCCCTGAAACTCCCTGACACAGGGGTATGTCCCTGACACTCCCTGACACAGGGGTATGTCCCCCCCGACACTCCCTGACACAGGGGTATGTCCCTGACACTCCATGACACGGGAATGTCACAGGATTACAGGAGTGCAGTTCGTTTTTTTTTGCACTCCTGTGACCTGTTTTCAGCTAAGAGCAGGCTAAAGCCCACTGTCGGCTTATGTCACAGAGCCGGTCCAGGCTGGGGAAAGATCCTGACTTTACAGTCAGGATCCACCCAGAAGCCTACACTGGCAGCTGGTTCTGCTTCTCAGTGATCTGCTGGGACACTGAGCTAGCTGCTCCCGTCTTCTCAACAGCCCAGTGCTCCAGTCAGGGCTGCTGTTAGTAACCATAGGGCCCCACACAGCCAACCTGACAGGGCCAGCCCCCCCCCCCCCCCCAGAAAAAACCCCCACAGTCTACTATGATTCAGTTATGAATGAACACAGTGAGTGATCAGTTCTGCTTGTGTTCATTCAGGAAAGATAGGGACAGGTAAACGTGACATTTTTACCAGACCCTTCCCTCTTTCTCCATCCTGAAGGATCCTAATGTGTGCTTGTAGTTGCCTGTAGGAAGCAAAAGAGAGAAGCCGGCAGCACTGCAGGGTGGGGGCACACAGGGGGACATGGGTAGCAGGGGTAAACGTATGGAGTACTGGGCTGGTCATGGATGTGGTGGGGGGCTATTACTGGAACCGATCCCCTGTATGGAGAGGAGAAGAAGCCAGCTTTCAGCTGCTGCAGAGGGAGCTATACAGGGGATCGGTTCCAGTAATTGCCCCCCACACTGTGCTGACTACTCTCCCTGTCCACATACAATTCACCTGCTGGCTAGGACCCTGTACAGAAGGACTGCTGGCACCCCCTTATCCACGGCCCTGCCTCCAGTAAGCACTGGAGGGGCAGAGCAGAGAGATAGTCACGGCTCACTGCTCAGAGCGGAGGGGAGAAGTGAGCAGCAGTGTTTGATTGCTCAGTTCTCGGTGTAAAAATGGCAGAGAGGACAGTCCAGATCGATGCCGCATCCGCCCAGGTAAGTGTTAAGATTTAATTTTTTTTTTTGGGAAAAGTACGCGGCAGTGTGCGGTTGTGTGTCGGGGATTTCATAAAGCACCTGTCAGTATGCAGGTTCAGGCAGCAGTAGATGAAGTGTCCGGATCAATCCTATCTCTAATCTGAAATCTGTGTACGTACTCTGTGCTGGCGCTGACTTGGACGCCGCGATATTGCTGGTGCTCTTCACGGTTTTCAGTAGAAGGTGCTGGCTGGTTGGGACCGGCATCACAGCCCTGCGTTGCTGCTTCTTCCGCTGCTGTTGTTGTTTTAGGGCCTGCACAAAAGACAACCACAACAACATATATTAAAAGGTTACAGCATTTTCCATACAGCCATATAAAATACAGAGGAGAACATCTACTTGGATGTAAATCTGGTGTGTGCTGATCTTGTACAATGACAGCAGATGCAGTTCTCAGGAACTCAGCCAAACTCCCCAAAAGTGATTTTATAATAATCTGAGCATACAGACCCCCCTTTCCTGAATCCCGCAATACCACCGTGTTGTCTCAGTGATCTGAACTGTGGAAGTAGTAGGAGCACATCAAGTATGTCTCTTATGAAGTTTCTGTTAGCATGGAGAGGCTCTCCAGTGGTGTGCTGACACTTTGGGGCTTGGGGCTCTAGTTGTGTTCTTTAGCATCTTATTAACCACCTACCCTCCGGCCGTTGTATATAAACGGCCAGACGGTGGCAGTGCAGGGTCGGGTGGCCGTTTATAAATGGTCTCCCCGCACCCTGCTTGTGCGCGCTCCCTGGGAGCACGCAGCACCGCGATCCGGTGCCCGCTGTGTCCTCCAGACACAGTGGAACACCGATCATCGTACGGGACCTCTGTGCGAGGTCCCGATCATGTGATCACTGGATTGGCCAATCAGTGATCACATGCAGAGTAGTAAGCAAGAAGTCACTTGTGACATCATTGCTTACTACGTGTGAAATCTGTGAATGATCACAGAGATCACATGGTACAGGGCTATTTACAACAGCCTTGTACCATGTGACAAGTTGTGACCAATCACAGCTCACACAGTATTTCTCAATGGCTGCAGGAATGCAGCCAGAGAGAAGGAGAAATGATTGCTTTTACAGCCTTTATGGGTGTAAAAGCAATCAGTGTAAAAAAACAAAAAAAATAATCTTCACCACCCCCCCCCACAAGTAGTTCAGTGTCACCATGGTGACACTGTACTGCTAGGGTGATAGTATGTAAAAAAACAAAAAAAAAAAAAACAACAAAACATAAATAATAATATAAAAAAATAAAATAAAAATGTAAAAAAAAAAGTTTAAAAATTATAATTTTTGCTTATAAACTAATTTGTTTTTGTTTTTTTTGTTTTTTTTTTTACTAAAAAGATAACAGAATAAATTTTGGCCAAGATTTATGATGAAATATTATTTATTTGCAAAATTTTATAAGAAAAACACTTTTTTTTCAAATTTTTTTGGACTTTTTCATTTACATAGCAAAAAAAAAAAATCCCAGCGGTGAATAAATACTATCAAAATAAAGCTTTATATGTCTCCAAAGAAATGCAAAAAAATTCATATGGGTACAGTGTTGCATGACCGCGCAATTGTCCTTCAAAATGTGATAGCGCTGAAAGCTGAAAACTGGCCTGGGCAGGAAGGGGGTAAAAGTGTCCGGACTGGAAGGGGTTAAAGAGGAAATCCTTCTTTTGAGTGGAAGTTCAGCGTGTCATGGTTCGCCAGCAATGCTCCAGGTTGGGAGAGGTGTCACTGGAAGTCCAAGGTATCAGAAAGCCAAAGAAATGCAAGTTTTTTTCGTGTTACGGCCGCTTAGGTGAAGTGTTCAGCCCAGAACGGAGGGCACAACAATCTGCATCCTGCATGAGGTATAGCCAACTGCCTTTTAGGAACACGTCTGCTGTTACCCCTAGCAACAGCAACATTTTTGGACTTTTTCATTTACATAGCAAAAAAAAAATATCCCAGCGGTGAATAAATACCACCAAAAAAAAAGCTTTATCTGTCTCAAAACAAATGCTAAAAAATTCATATGGGTACAGTGTTGCATGACCGCGCAATTGTCATTCAAAGTGTGATAGAACTGAAAGCTGAAAATTGGCCTGGGCAGGAAGGGGGTGAAAGTGTCCGGACTGGAAGTGGTTAAGGAAAGGTTCGCTTGCAGAGAACATGAGGAGCCATAAGATGCCAGCTTTACCCTTGACTAGCAAGGAAACCTTCCCCCCTGTCACTGGCTTCACTTTGTTACATAGAGTTGACATGCCCAACTTCACTGCCGAAATCCAGTCTGCATCAATTTATAAACAGTGGCTTAGTGGTTAGCAATTCCTCCTTGCCGCGCTGGAGCCCGTGGTTCCAATTCTATCTAGGACTCTAGCTACATGGAGTTTGCATGTTCTCCTTGTGCCTATGTGGGTATCCTCCTGGTGCTCTGGCTTCCTCCAACACTCCAGACACATGCTGGTAGGTTGAATTGGCCCTAGAATGTGTCTACATTAATCTCCTAGATTGTAAGCTCCCAGGATCAGGGCCCTCTATTTCCTCTTGTACCAAATTGTATTGTAACTGTAATGTCCACCTTCATTTTGTAAAGAGCTGCGCAAACTGTTGGCGCTATATAAATCCTGTATAATAATAATAATAATGTATGTGTGTGAGATAGGGACCTTAGATAGAGTGTAAGACTCCTTGAGATCAAAGACCCCGCCCCCCCCCCCAAATACACACGCACGCGCGCACGCACACACACCCCTTTTCACGCTGTGCAGATTTCGTTCATTATTTTAACATTTATCTGAAGAGAAGAGAGGTACGTCGTCTGCATTCCTAACACGCTAGGAAAGGGGGACACCGATGCTTCTCCATAGATACAGTCCTGTGAGCATTGTCACCCTAGAACAGAAGTGTCCTACTAGCAGAATCACCAGGTGAAAGTAAAAGGAGAGAAAAAAGAAAACAAATTCATGCCGACAGCACACTGGTAAATTGCATTACGTTTCATTTTTCAGGCTCCATGTACACGGGACACTTCTGAATGATGGAAACTGACTGCTGGAAAACGTAGGTTAAAAAAAAAGTCTGTTTAGCTGAGTTTGCATACTATGTTTATGTGCGTTTAGAAGCGTTTTGAAAAGATAACCTCAGAGGAGACCCTCCCAAATGCCCAGAAAAACAGTAAAAAATTAATTATTTTGCTGTCCGGAGCCTTTTTTCATCATCAGAAATGCATGCAAAGTGTTTTCCATGTATTCAAATGGACCCGGTACACCAGTACACGGTGCCGGGGCGGCACAGTGGCTTAGTGGATAGCACTTCCTCCTGCCAGTACTGGGGTCGTTGGTTCGAATCCCAACCTGTGCGAGGTCCCAATCATGTGATCACTGATTGGCCAATCAATGATCACATGCAGAGTAGTAAGCAAGATGTCACTTGTGAAAATTAATTTATTTAATTAATGTGACATCATTGCTTACTACGTGTGAAATCACCAGCCTGGAGTTTGCATGTTCTCCCTGTGCCTGTGTAGGTTTCCTCCCACACTTCAAAGACATGCTGGTAGGTTAATTGGGTCCTATCTAAAAAAATTGTCCCTAGTATGTGTATGTATGAATGTGAGTTAGGGAACTTAGATTGTACACCCCTTGAGGGTTAGGGACCTTAGATTGTCCGCCCCTTGAGGGTTAGGGACCTTAGATTGTACGCCCCTTGAGAGTTAAGGACCTTAGATTGTACCCCCCTTGAGGGTTAGGGACTGATGTGAATGTACAATATTTATGTAAAGCGCTGTGTAAATTGAAGGCGTTATATAAGTACCTGTAATAAATAAAACTATTTCAGACATTTTGAGAGGAATAGAGAGAGCAGAAGCAGAGAGAGCAGTATGTGTTGAGATGATCTGTCTTTTCTGGTTGTATTCACTATGGATCCCATCATGAGCATAATGTGGCACGTTCTACCATTTATTTCTTCACGCCAAACCTGGAACTGACTGACTGCGCTGAATACCTGGAACTGACTGCGGTGTACCCGGGTCCATTTGAATACCTGGAACTGACTGCGCTGGTGTACCGGGTCCATTTGAATACCTGGAACTGACTGCGCTGGTGTACCGGGTCCATTTGAATACCTGGAACTGACTGCGCTGGTGTACCGGGTCCATTTGAATACCTGGAACTGACTGCACTGGTGTACCGGGTCCATTTGAATACATGGAAAACGCTTTGCATGCATTTCTGATGATGGGGAAAAAAAGCTCTGGACAGCATCTGGACATGGATCAGTTGAAAAACGCTTCTAAATGCGGTTAATCGCGTTTACACGCATTTACAAGCATTTGGAACTCTGGTAAAATCTACTTCTGAACGCAAGTTTGGTGCGTTAAAAAAAAAACCACTGTAAACTCAACTGTCTGTAAACGACTATGTGTACATGGACACATAGGAGAACATTAGGGAGAGTTCAGGGGCTGCTGAAAAAAATCGCTCAACAGCTCCTCAACATCCGTTTATCAGCTGCAGTGTACATGAACCCTAAAAGGAAAGAAAGAAAAAAGAAAACTAATTCATGACGACAGCACACTGGTAATATGCATTAACCAATTCAATACCGGGTGCTTTTACCCCCTTCCTGTCCAGGCCAGTTTTCATGTTTCAGCGCTCTCACACTTTGAATGACAATTGCGCGGTCATACAACATTGTACCCAAACTAAAATTTTATCATTTTCTTCACACAACTAGAGCTTTCTTTTGGTGGTATTTAATCACCGCCGGGGTTTTTATTTTTTGCTAAATTAACAAAAAAAGACCAAACATTTTGAAAAAAAAAACACGTTTTTCTTTGTTTCTGTTATAAAAGTTTGCAAATAAATAATTGTTCTTCATAAATTTAGGCCGAGATGTATTCTGCTACATGTCTTTGGTGAAAATAACCCAAATTAGGATGTATTATTTAGTTTGTAGGAAAGTTATAGAGTTCACAAACTATGGGATAGATCTGAATATTGATCAGTCCTGAAGTACTCCAAGAATGTCAGACAGATATCCCCCAATCTAATTTCTTGAGGTCCAAGAATGTCAGAACAGTACAGATATCCCCCAAATGTCAGAACAGTACAGATATCCCCCAAATGTCAGGACAGTACAGATATCCCCCAAATGTCAGCACAGTACAGATATCCCCCAAATGTCAGGACAGTACAGATATCCCCCAAATGTCAGAACAGTACAGATATCCCCCAAATGTCAGGACAGTACAGATATACTCGCAAATGTCAGAACAGTACA